GATTAGCATGGCGATTCGTCTGGCCGTGGCAGCCCTCTCGGTGCAAAGCATGGCGATTCGTCCGGCAGCCCTCCTGGTCGTCGTGCACGGCGTCGCTGGTACCTCTTCGGCGCCATTTGAACGCAACACTCAATTTGCGCATCCATCGTTTCGCTTATTGTGACGCGCGCAGGTGCGCACGACGCGCTGTGGCTCCGCTACAACGAGGTGCCGGCGGCGACGAGAACTTCCCTCTACGGCGCCTTGGAGGGTGCCAACGTCGCCATCGTGGCGGACGCCGACGACCCAGCAGCGCTGGATCCGACGCGCGAAATCGTCCTCGACGCCGTCGGCGACGAGCTGACGGCGGCGTTCGCCGCGATGTTCCCGGCGGCGGGGCCGACGCCGCGCCCGCGGCGGGCGCTCGTGAACGTGTCGTCGCGCGCGTTCGCGAGCGAGCTCGGCGCCGAGGGCTACCGGCTGCGCGGCGCCACGATCGAGGCCGCGACGGCGTCGGGCGCGTTCTACGGCGCCTTCGCTCTGCTCGGTCTGATCCAGCGCCGCGAGCCGCTCCCCGCGGTGCGGACGAGCGTGCCCAGGACGCGCCTGCGCCACTGGGACCTCTGGGACGAGCTCGACGGGTCCGTCACGCGCGGCTACGCGGGCCGGTCGCTGTTCTGGCCCATGGCGCTCTTCGAGGACGCCGCGCCGCCGCCCATGGACCAGGTCTACCTGGCCCCGTGCGACGCGTCGGATCCCCGGCAGCGCTGGTCCGGCGCGACGCTCGAGGCCGGCGCGTCAACGCCGTCGCCCATCGCGAACGAGGCGACGGGCGGCTGCCTGACGACGGCCTCGTGCGCGCCCGTGCGCGCGCTGGCCTGCGGCGAAACGCCGCCGACGTGGTTCTACAACGCGACGAACAAGACGCTCGTCGTCGTCGCGGCCGCCGCGAACCAGACGTGCGGAGCCCACGGCGGCGAAGGCAACTGCCTCGACATCAACGGCGGGTCGGGCCCGGACCTCGACATGTACCGCTGCCACTCGACGGACGAGGGCGATTACACGCACCAGCGGTTCGTCGTCGACGGCGCGACGATCCGCTCCGCGCGCGATCGCACCGCGTGCCTCGGCGTGAGCCGCCCGAACCCGCCGTGGGAGGGCGCGGCGGACCCGTGGGTGCCCGCCGGCGCCTGGAAGGCGCGCGTGTCGGACGCGCTGCGCGCGCTCAAGTCCGCGGGCCTCAACGGCGTCGTCCTCCTGGACGTGAACGCGTGCGGGCCGACGCAGACGCACGCGCTGAGGACGGGCCCCATGCACCAGATCGCCGAGAACCTGCGGCCGCTCTTCGAGCGCTACGCGATGGCGCCCTTGCTCTCCGCGTGCTTCGCGGCGCCGACGGAGCTCGACGGCGTGTCCGCGGACCCCGCGGCGCCGGCCGCGCGCGCGTGGTGGACGGCCAAGGCCGCGGAGCTGCGCGACGCCTGGGGCCCGGGCTTCGGCGGCCTCCTCGTCAAGGCCGACTCGGAGGGCAACGTCGGCCCGGCGCGCTTCGGGCGCTCGCAGGCCGACGGCGCGAACATGATGGCGGACGCGCTCCGCGCGTCGTCGAACTCGTCCTGGCTGCTCTGGCGCGCGTTCGTCTACGGCACGGACGACGCCGTCGGCCAGGAGGACCTGGCGCGCCAGGCCTACGACACGTTCGAGCCCCTGGACGGGCGGTTCCGCGACAACGTCGTGCTCCAGATCAAGAACGGGCCCATGGACTTCCAGGTCCGCGAGCCCATCTCGCCCCTGCTCGCGGGAGGCATGCCCAAGTCGAACGTCATGATGGAGGTCCAGGCCGCGCAGGAGTACACGGGCCAGCAGATCCACGCCGTGGGCCTCGCGAAGATGTGGCGGCACTACTTGGACACGGACACGATGTGGGACGCGCCGAAGACGGGGCCCACCGTCGAGGACATCCTGACGACGCGGTCGAACTTCGGCGGGGGCCTGGCCTGCGTGTCGAACTTCGGCGACTTCGCGAACTACACGGGCCACGTCTTCGCGGCGGCGAACGCGTACGCGTGCGGGCGCCTCGCGTGGGCGCCCGAGACGCCGTCGGCGACCATCGACGCGGAGTGGGCCGCGATGACCTTCCCGGACGCGCCGGACGCCGCCCGGGTCGCCGCGGACATTTTGGACAAAAGCTGGGAGGCGTACGAGGGCTACCAGTCGCCGCTCGGCATCGGGTTCCAGATCCGGGGGAACCCGAACCGCTTCGGCTGCGCCCCGAAGACGAACTTCGACGGGCGCCAGGCGCCGAGCTTCGGCCCGAACCCGGGCGCGCCCTGGAACGCGTCGGGCCTCTACGGGCCGGGCCGCGGGCCCTACGGCCGCGAGTGCCCCATCTCGAACGTCAAGTGCCTCGCCGACGACTGCCTCGAGCACCGGTCGGGCTGGGGCGCGGGCGCGGGCTCGGACCACTACTGGCTCGATCCCTGCGCCATGTACGACTTCCAGAACTCGTCCTTCGACGGCCTCGGCTGCGACCGGCGGTCGACCGGCGCGGGCTCGCGCATGGCCGGCGCGTACTCGCCCGCGCTCGCCGCGGTCCTCGACGACGCGGCGACGTGCCCGACGGAGCTCCTCCTCTTCTTCCACAACGTGCCCTGGAACCGCACCGTCGAGGGCGCGCCGCTCATCGACCGCATCGTCGACGGCCACCGCGACGCGCTCGCCGCGGTCCGCGCGCTCGCGGCCGCGTGGGACGGCGTCGAGGCGGCCATGGCCGGCGACGCGCGCTTCGCGGGCGTCCAGGCCCGCTTCCGCCAGCAGGTCAACGACGCCGCCGTCTTCTCCGAGGTCATCACGGGCTTCTACAAGAACCTCTCCCTGGGCATCCTCGCGTAGCGGCTCGCCGGCGGGGTATCCTCGTCGCTTTTGCGCGACGAACGAGTCGCCACGCGTATCGAAGATGATCCCGGGATGCCATGGTGAAGTAATGGTGAAGCCGTCATTGCACTGCTCTCCAGCAAGGAGAGCAAACCGATGTCACCGGCGCTCGCCAACAAGATGCGCAGCGCCTACAGCGTCACCGACGTGTCCAGCGTGCGGCATCACGACACGCGCCTCATCGTCCACCCGCTCTACCCGCAGGGCGCGGCGCACTGGCTCCACCCCTGCGAGCACCTGCGCGCCTTCAGCGACGTCCGGGTCCCCGGCCTGCCCTTCGCGCTCCAGGTGCCGCAGCGCCAGGGCGTCGGCGGCGACGACACGGGCTGCGCCGTCTGGCGCGGCGCGACGGTGCTCGCGCGGCGCCTGCTGACGACGGCCTGCGAGGGCCGCGCGGGGAACGGCCGCCGACCCGTCGCCGTCGAGCTCGGCTGCGGCGCGGGCGCGATCGCGGCGGCCGTCGCGAGTTATCTCGGCTGCGACGCCTGGGGCACGGACATGCCCGACATCGCCAAGGACGCCGCGGGCGCCTGCCGGGACCACGCGGCGACGGCCGCGGCCGCGGGCCGCCCGCTCCGGGGCGCGCTCCGCGCGGCGCCGCTCGCGTGGGGCGCGGCGGACGCGGCGGCCTTCGCGCGCGAGCACCTGCCGCCGGGCCGCGCGGACCTCGTGCTCGGGTCCGAGGTCGTCTACGCGCTCACGAAGACGCGCGTCGCGGAGGCCATCGCCGTCTTCGAGAAGCTTGCGGCGACGATCGCCGCGCTGCTCAACGACGGCGGCGTCTGCCTCATCGCCTACTGCCCGCGGTCCGACGTCGAGGCCTACTTCTTCGACATGCTGCCGAAGCACGGCCTCCGGCTCCGAGCGGAATACGCGCCCTCGGCCGTCGCGAGCGGCTACGACGGCAAGGGCAACGGCGTGCCCCGCGGCGTGCCCGTCGCCGACCTCGGCCTCGCGCGCCACCAGGTCGACGGCCTCCGCCTCTTCGCCATCGAGCGCGACGCCGCGCGGGAGACGCCCGCGGACGCGGCGGCCGCGCCGCCGCCGCCGCCGACGTTCGCGCCGATCGCCTTCGACTTCCTCCGACCGCCGCTCGACGACCCGCTCGACTAACGTCGCTGTTTTGCTTTCTTGTGCGTGCGACGCCTCCTCTACGGACTGCAACTTGTACGGCAAGGTCAATGGTGCATCTCGCTACTCGAGGCGACGAGCTGGTGGCTCGCGTCGACGGACCGCAAGCGTGCGCGCAGACCGGCCCCCCCGGAGTGGACCCCTCCGGAGTGGACGCACACCTACGCACACGGGCGCGGCCAAAGCCCCGCGACGCGGAATCAACAGGCATGGAGGACATCACCAAGACCCTCGAGGCGGCGAAGGCGAGCGTCGCGGGCGTCACGGACAAGATCGGCGCCTCGGCGTTCACGGCGTCGCGGTCTGCCGTCGAGGCGAGCCGCAAGATCGACGACGAGGGCACGCCCCTGCGCGCGGGCATCGGCTTCCTCCGCGAGTCGCTGAACGGGTTCCTCGCCAAGGGCCACGGCGCGGCGACGTCCGCGTCGGCCGAGGTCGACGGCATGGTCTCCGTCGTCCGCGCGCGGGTCGCGCCCGCCGTCGCGCCCGCCGTCGCGCACGCCAACCAGCTCCGCAAGTCCCGGCCGGAGCTGCTCGTCGGGGCCATCACCGCGCCCGTCCTCCTGCTCTCCGTCTTCGGGGGCAAGATCGCCATGGTCCGGAACGGCCTCTCCTGCGCCGTCGCGTCGGGCATGGCCGTCTACGGCCTGAACTTTTGGGACCAACGAGACAAGTAGACGCGCGTTTCCCGGCGTCCCGCGATCCCGAAACTTTTTCATCGCTGGACTTTCCGGCCACGCGCGACTGCTGTCGTGCGCGATGGCCCAGTTCTGCCGGCGTAGAGTTGCCGCCCGCCCGCGCGAGCGTTCCGCGAGGATCGCTTCGTCGTCCCGCGCGCCGACCGTCGCGCCGGGACGCGCGGCGGGCAAAAATTCCATCTTTTCCCTCAGGCGAGCGCGACGTCGCGCCCGCGATAGGTCCCGGGGTACTTCTTAAGGAAACGCGTCTTCGTGGGTGCGTCGCGCGCCTAGTTCGCGGCGGCGGCGAAGCGGTCCGCGCGCTCCTTGAGCTTCGCCTCGTGCGCCTTGACCGCGGGGTCCTTGAAGCGCTCGAGGCGCGCGGCGCGCTTCGCCTCCTCGGCGGCGACGACGGGGTCCTTGAAGCGCTCCTCCCGCGCCTTCTTCTTCGCCTCGTCGGCCTCCTTCTTGGCGCCCGCGTCCTCGACGCCGAACCGCTCCGCGCGCTTCCGCTTCTTGGCCTTCTCGTCCTCGGCCTTCTTCGCGTCCGTCGTGACGACGGGGATGCCGAAGCGCTCCGCGCGCGACTTCTTCTTGGCCTCGATGTCCTCCGCGGACGCCGCGGGCGCGGCCTCGGCCGCGGGCTCGGCGGCCGGCGCGGGCGCCGCGGGCTCCTCGGCGGCCGCGGGCTCCGCGGGCGCCGGCGCCGCCTCCGCCGCCGGCGCCGCCGCCTCGGCGGGCGCCGCGTCGTCGAGGCCGAACTCCTCCTCGTCGAGCGCCTATAGTAAGTCGATCGTTCGGCCGCGGCGTTCGAAACGTCTCGGGGGCGCCGCGGACGCGCGAGCTGGAGGCGGTCCGCGAGGTCGCTCTTGAGGCCCGACGCGTCGAGGCCCCGGCGCTTGAGCTCCTCGCGGAGCTCCGCGACCTTCATCTTCTTGGGCTCCATCTGCGCGCGGCGCGGAACAGTATTATGCTGCTGCGAGTGTGTTGGCTCTCGCGCGCGTTGCTTTGCGGCGGGCCCCGGCGCTCGATCGATGCGCGCGCGCGCGCGGTGATCTCTGGCGGCTATTTCTAACGCATACACACGGCTGTCTCTCACTAGCGCGCGTTAAGGACGCCGGTCCATGCGCTCCGCGAGCCTGTGGCAATGTCGGCTTGATCAGCGAGCGACTGCAAACAAAAACCAGCCGCGTTGCCTCCGTAGCTGCCGCCACAGAATTAGAACAGGCGGCCGCGGCGACATGCTCCGCCAGGGCCTGCGCCCGCTGCTCGCGCGGCTCCGGCCCGCGCGCGCGTTCGCGGCGCACACGATGAACGTGCCGAGCATGGGCGACAGCATCACGGAGGGCACGATCGCCGGCGTGGAGAAGGCCGTCGGCGACGCCGTGGCCCTCGACGAGATCGTGGCCATCATCGACACGGACAAGGTCTCCGTCGAGGTGCGCGCCGACGCCGCCGGCGTCATCGAGGAGATCTTCGTCGCCGAGGACGACAACGTCGAGGTCGGCGCGCAGCTCCTCCGCATCGAGACGAACGGCGCGGCGGCGCCCGCGGCCGCGGCGCCCGCGGCGGCGCCCGAGGCCGCCGCGGCGCCGGCGGCCGCCGCGCCCGTGGCGGCGCACGGCCGCGTGCCGTCCATCAAATTCCTCGGCAAGCGGTCCGTGCCCGGCGGCGGCATCCCGCTCGCGGCAGCGGCGCCCGCCAAGGCCGCGCCTCCCTCGGCCAAGGCCGCGGCGCCGGCCAAGGCCGTCGTCCCGTCGGGGCTCGCCGTCGAGTTTTCGTCCGTCGGCCCCTTTTTCGGCCGACCAGAGATCACGGAGGCCGAGATGCTCGCGCTCGAGTCCGGCGGCGGCACGGAGATCGACGGCTGGTGAGTCGGCCCCCGCCCCCGGACGTCACGCCGCCCACGACACTTCCCTTTACCCCCGTATTAATCTTGCTTCGTTGGTGTTGACGTCGTCGGCGGCCCGCCGACGCGGACCGCGCGCGTCGCGGCCGGGGTCACGACGTCGTCGGCAGCTCGTTGACGCGGACCGCGCGCGTCGCGAGCGGCGCCCGCGACAGCTCCGGCGCCATGGGGAGGCCGCGCTTCTCGTCCGGCGGCGGTCCCCGGCAGAGCGCGGCGAGGGCCGCGTCGGCGTCGAGGGAGTTCGTGACCGCGGAGCCGGACGCGCTGAGGTAGGCGACGGCGCCGCGGATGCCGAACATGACGCCCAACCAGCAGAGGTCGCCGCGCATGAGCACGACCCAGTCGACGTAGCGCGAGTGGTCCGCGGAGTACTGGCTCATGGCGACGTCCGCGCCGATGCGCAGGACCTGGCTCAGCGCGAGGAGCGCGCCGCCGCCGCGGATGCCGAAGTAGTCGAGGCCGAAGGCCGTGTGCGCGAGGCCCGCGCCGACGAGGAAGACGAGGAGGAAGACGGGGCCCCAGGGCTCCCGCGGCGTCTCGACCTGCGAGGGCGCGCAGGTTCGTAGGCTCCGGGCGAGGCTACGTAGGCGCGTAGGCGCCTGCGTAGGCACCTACGGAGCGACGCTGGTCTCGACGAGGCCCCAGTCGACGGCGAATTTCACCGTCCCGATGGCGACGTGGTGCGCGAGGATCCAGCACGCCTCGAACCAGCGCACGGCGTCCATCGCCGTCGTCCGCCCGCCGAGCCCGGGAGCAGGAGCGCGTAGGTCGGCCGCGTCGCCGACGTGTCCGAGAAGAAGTGCCAGAGCGCCGCGAAGAAGAGGAGCTGGCCCATCGTGTCCGAGTTGTAGAACGACAGGATCGTCAGCGGCATGACGAGGATGTGCGCGAAGCCGTCGACGACCTTCCGCTGCGCGGGGTCCGGGTTCGCGAGGAGCATCGCCAGCTCCGCGACGAAGAACGCGAAGTGGATCCAGAACGCGAACATGAACGCGCGGCCGATCTTCGCGAGGAAGTCACCGGCGCCCAGGCTCCCCATCGGTTCGACCTCGTCGTTGCCGCAATTCAGGTCCAGGCCGCCGCCGTGGCACCAGAACGCGTTCACGTTCACGCCGTCGTCGCCCATGTCGTCGCCCATCATGCGGCGCCCCATGTCGATCGACGATCGCAAGCGGCGCGGGCGCCGTGAGAATCGATGCACACGATGCCGTTCGTCGATCTGCCGCAAATCCCCCGAAGGCTCGCAGGCAGCCCGTTCGACATCCGCACAGCGGCTGCCCCGCAGCACGATGGCCGCGCTCCACGAGGCGACGGTGCCGCACGTCCAGGAGGTCGGCGACGACGACGACGGCCTCGCGGCGCACGCGCCCCTGGACCTCGACGCGGCGAGTAGCCAGCTCGAGACCATGTCCGCGGAGCTCGACGCGCTGCTCAAGCACCTCGAGGAGGGCGGCGACGTGCCCGCGGAGGTCATGGACCAGTTCAAGGAGGACGAGCTCGAGCGCGAGGGCCTCGAGGCGGCGAAGAGCGCCGCCGACCCGGCGGAGTCCGTCGCGCACCTGAGCGCGCGCGTCGACGAGGTCACCGCGGCGCTCGAGTCCGAGCTCGTGATGACCAAGGAGCTCCAGGCCTTCCAGAAGGAGGTCGAGGCGGACAACGCGAAGCGCGCCGACGACTGCCAGCGGGCCATGCAGGAGCTCATGGAGCTCCGCCGCGCCTACGACGAGATGACGAGCGAGAGCGCGGTCGACGTCGAGTTCAACCGCCTCATGGCCAAGCGGACGGAGGACGCGGCGCGGGCCACCGCCGAGGCCAAAGCGAACGTGCCGCCGCCGCCGCCGAGCTTCGCCCGGGCGGAGACCAAGGACGACGACGACCTCGCGAACCTCCACCCCGACGACCTCAAGCTCGCGGACGAGGCGACGCCGACGGACGAGGAGGCCCAGAAGATGATCTACCTCCTCGCGAAGATGAAGTACCAGGCCCTCGGCGTCCAGAACGCGCAGCTCCAGGCGCAGATCGCCGACCTCGAGGCCGTCCGCGACGCCGACCCGGACGTCCAGCGGAGCGCGGAATAAGCCTTACTGCTTCTGCGCGTCGAAGAGCGCGACGATGCGCGCGGCGGCCTGCCGGTCGAGGCCGAGGTGGGGCCGCGTCTTCACGAAGTGGCCGTCCATGCGCTTCGGGTCCTGGACGCCCAAAGGCAGGTCGTCGACGGCGACCCAGGTCCGCGGCCGCCACTTCTCGCACCACGCGCCGATTTCCCGGGGGCGGTTGAAGCGGTCGAGCGAGGGCGTCCGCGAGCGGAATTTGAGGCCGTACTCGTCGAGCTTCGCGGCCAGGAACGCGCGGTGCTCCCGCCGCAGGCGCCAGGCCGTGCTCAGCACGATCGTCGCGCCGCAGCGCCGCACGACCTCGCGCAGCAGCGACATCTGCGCCGTGCGGAACCGCTGGTGCTCGTAGCGCGGGTTCGCGACGTGCAGCACGCCGTCGACGTCGAGGAAGAGCACGGCGTCCAACGCGCTCAGCGACGACGCGTCGGGCGCCGCCGCTTCGATGCTCGGCAGGGCCGTGCGCGGCCGCTCCGGCTCCTCCTTGTGCTGCTGCTGCGGCTTCTGGAGGCTCTGGCCTGTGCGCGGCCGGGCGTAGCTCCGCGGCTGGGCGAGGCTCGCGAGGCGCGACTGCGACTGGACCATCATGCTTTTTGCAAGGTGCCGCGCGGGATGACCGCTCGCGGGGCGCGCAGGCAGCCCGGCGAGGGCGCCGCGGCTCGCCTACGCAGCAGGGCGCGACAGGAGGAGCCCGAGCGGAATGCAGCGGGACGTCGACGACAGGCAGCCCCGAAAGAGAGCGCCGTCAATCTAATAGATCTCGAGCAGTTTCGTGGTGTTGACGGCAATGATCACATGTTGAGGCGGACGCGTGGGTGCCGCCGACGTTGCCGCAGGTGTCGTTAATTCCAGCGCAGCGCGCGCTTCCGTCGAAACTGGGAGAGCGGCTCTCAGCTCCGCCCTTGCGAATCGAGTCCAACGCCCCTTGCCGACCATGGGCGCCGGTGCGAGCGTCCCCGACATCGTCACCCTCGACGCGGCGCTGGCCCACACGGGCCCGCTGGGCATCGCCGACGCGCGCGTCACCGAGGCCTTTGGGGGCAAGGAGACGCTGCCCGGCCCGCGGGCCATGGAGCTCCTCGCGGCCATGCAGGAGGAGTCCAAACACGGCCGCGCCGCCGAGGTGGGCACGGCGCGCGCCGCCGTGCGCGCCATGCTCGAGCAGAAGGAGTGGGACGACGGCTCGCTCACGCCCGTGTTCATCCGGCTCGCGTGGCACTCGTCGGGGACGTACGACGCCGCGACGAAGACGGGCGGCTCGAACGGCGCGGGCATGCGCTTCGGCCCGGAGGCCGGCGACCCGGAGAACGCGGGCCTCGACAAGGCGCGGGCCTTCATCGAGCCGCTCAAGGCCCAATTCCCGAACTTTTCGTACAGCGACCTCTGGATCCTCGCCGCGTACGTCGGCCTCGAGGTGTCCGGCGGCCCCGTGATCCCCTTCACGGCGGGCCGCGTCGACTACGACGACGAGACGGCGGCGACCTACCCGCCCGTCGGGCGCCTGCCCGCCGCGGAGAAGGGCATCCCGGCGGGCTGCCCCTTCGAGACGTGCGACGCGGTCGGCGTCATGCACGGCTGGGAGGCCCTCGCGGAGTACATGCGCACGGACATCTTCTACCGCATGGGCTTCGACGACCGCGAGGCCGTGGCGCTCCTCTGCGGCGGCCACGTCTACGGCCGCTGCCACACGGACCGAGAGCGGCTACGCGGGCGCGTGGGTCGCGGAGATGACCCAGTTCTCCAACGAGTACGCGGCCGACATGCTCGAGGACACGTGGACCTGCGTCGACCACGACGACGTCTGGCTCGACGACATCGGCGCGGCCGAGCTCCGCCCCGCGCCGGGCAAGAAGCAGTACGTGAACCGCGAGCGGCCCGCGGGCTGGGCGCCCAAGGACGGCAAGGCCCTCGTCTGCCCCTTCTCCTTCGCCAAGGCCGAGGCGAGCCTCCCCACGGAGCCGCCGGCGTCGGCGACGCGGCCGGGCTGCCCCTTCGCCAAGGCCGCGGCGGACGACGCGGAGCCGGAGAAGGAGAAGTGCGCGTCGTCCGCGGGCGGCGAGCCGGACAACCAGATGATGCTCGCGTCGGACATGGTCCTCGCCTGGGACAAGGGCTTCCGCGTCCACCTCGAGGCCTACGCGGAGGACGAGGACGCGCTCCGCACGGACTTCGGCAACGCGTTCAAGAAGCTCACGGAGCTCGGCTGCCCCTTCGCCAAGGAGCCCGCGCGCGCGCCGACGCCGTGAACCGCGCCACCCCTGTCTGTTTACTACCGCTTCTTCTTCTTCTTGGGCTTGGGCTCGCCCATGCCGCGGTTCGCCGCGAGGGGCGCGCGCCGCGCGAAGCCGACGATGGCGTCCTTCTCCACCGCGGCCTCGACGCCGCCGACGAGCGGGTGCTCGTCGAGCAGCGCCGCCAGCAGACCTTCGCTCCGCGGGTCCTCGAGGAAGAGGAACGTGCCCGCGTCCGGTTTGCACGCGTCCATCGCCGCGTCGACGACGCGCCGCGCCTCGTCCTCGCCGCCGCGCGCGTAGGCGCGCTCGAGGCAGCGCACGCCGAAGCACGCGTCGTAGGCGCCGTCGTCCAGCTTCGGCGGCTTGCCCGAGGCCCGCGCGAGCACGACCTCGACGGCGAGGCCGAGCTTGTTCGCGGCCATCGTGATCGGCCCGCGGTCCGCCTCCTTCGGCGGCGACGCGTACCACTGCTTCACGTCGCAGCCCATGGGCAGGTAGTACCTACAGGGTCGTGCGTGGCGCGAAACGCGCGACGGGAGGGCGCGGCGCACGCACAAGTTCTTCGCACCGTCGACGCAGTCGATCTCGAGCACTTTCGAGCCCTTGGGCACGCCGGAGAGCAGCTTCGTCACCAGCATCTGGTCCTGCCAATATCTCGGTTTGAGGAAGTCGAAGGCGGCGCCGTGGGTGGCCGCCAGGGCGGCCATAAGAGCTCCAAATCGGCGGCCCATGCCACAGTGGTGCTCCCAAACCAAGGACTGTGGCGAGAGCAGCTCCTCGCGCACGGCCTCCAGCGCGCCGTCGAACGCGAACGATGTCGGGCGGCTTCGAGGCCATGGGCCTCATGCCCGAGCTGCAGATGGGCGTGGAAGAAATCGGCTACCTGCTGCCGACGGAGGTGCAGGACGAGGCCATCCCTCTCATCCTCGGCGGCGGCGACGTCATGGTCGCGGCGCCGACGGGGAGCGGGAAGACGGCGGCCTTCGCGCTGCCGATCCTCGAGCTCGTCCACGAGAAGCTGCGCGAGGGCGAGCGCACGGGCGGGCCCGCGCGCGCCGCGCCCGCCGCGGCCGCGGGCCCGCCCGCGCTGAGCAGGGAGGACCGCGACCAGACCATGGCCATCTCCGACGACGGCGCGACGTGCCAGTCGCGGAGCGAGCGCTGGGCCGGCGCGCGGGCGAACTGCGGCGCCCGGGGCAACGGCGTCGTCTACTACGAGGTCGCGGTCGAGGACGAGGGCCTCGTCCGCGTCGGCTGGTCGACCGTCGCCGCGAGCTACGACCTGGGCACGGACGCCAAGGGCGTCGGCTACGGCGGCACGGCGAAGAAGAGCCACGCGCGGAGCTTCGAGGCCTACGGCGAGACCTACGGCAAGGGCGACGTCGTCGGCTGCTGGCTCGACCTCGACAGCGGGTCGTGCGGCTACACGAAGAACGGCGCGGACCTCGGCGCGGCCTTCGCGCCGCTGCCGGCGAACCTCGCCAAGGAGTGGCTCTACCCCGCCGTGGCCATGCGCAACGCCCAGTGCTCCGTGAACCTCGGGGCGGCGCCCTTCAAGCACCCGCGCGCCGGCGCCGTCCCTTTCGCGGCCTTCGCCGGCCTCCGCTACGCCGCGCCCAAGGCGACCGCGGGCGCCTTCGAGACGTCGAAAAAGTCGAAGAACGGCGGCCGCGGCGTGTCGGCCATCGTGCTCGAGCCCGCGCGCGACCTCGCGGAGCAGACGCACCAGTGCTTCGAGGCGTACGCGAAACACGTGACCGGGCCGTCCCTGAACTGCGCGCTGCTCATCGGCGGCGTCAACACGAAGGCCGCGGAGACGGCGCTGCGCAACGGCGACGTCGACATCGTCACGGGCACGCCGCTGAAGATCTGGGATTTGGTCAAACGGGGCGTCGTCGACTGCGAGAGCAGCTGCCGCTTCTTCGTGCTCGACGAGGCGGACCGCTTCATCGAGACCGACGACACGGAGACGTGCCTGAACATCTTCCGCAAGCTGCCCCAGGGCGCGGCGCCGGGCGCCCGCGACAAGCGGCTCCAGGTCTGCTTCTTCTCCGCGACGCTCCACAGCGACGAGGTCAAGCAGCTCGCGGCCAAGGTCTGCGAGTCGCCGACCTGGGTCGATTTGAAGGGCGAGAGCCACCTGCCGGACACGGTGAAGCACGTCGTGGTCCCCGTGGACCCGACGGGCGCGGACCCGGCGGTCGTCATGCTCGCGCGCGACGCGGCCGCGGCGGGGTACGCGACGGACGCGGTGCACCGCGGCGGCCAGCTGGAGGCCAAGACCTACGAGCCGCCGGCCCACGTGCGCGGCGACGCCAAGAGCACCTACAGCCCCACGCCCGACGCCTGCTCCGAGGTGCTGAAGCTCGCGAAGCCCGCCCTGCTCGTGAAATTGATCGACGCGCTGAAGATGGACCAGGTGCTCGTCTTCTGCCGGACGAACCTCGACTGCGACCTCCTCGAGCGCTACCTCGTCGGCCAGAGCGGGGGGCAGAAATTCAAGGGCAAGCGCGACAGCGGCAAGGAGGGCGCCTACAGCTGCTGCGTCCTCGCGGGCGCGCGGTCCATGGACGAGCGGCGGAAGAACTTGGAGGCGTTCAAGGCCGGCGACGTGAAGATCCTCGTCTGCACGGACGTCGCCGCGCGGGGCATCGACGTCACGGGCCTGCCCTTCGTCGTGAACATGACGCTGCCGGACCTGCCGGAGAACTACGTGCACCGCATCGGCCGCGTCGGGCGCGCGGACAAGGTCGGCCTCGCGATCTCGCTCGTCGCGACGGCGAAGGAGAAGGTCTGGTTCTGCCAGAAGGGCAAGAAGCCGCCCCAGAAGGACACGCGCCCCTACGACGCCGGCGGCAACTGCGTCTGGTACGACGAGCCGACGCTGCTCGCGGCCGTCGAGAAGAAGGTCAAGGCGAAGATCCCGACGATGGCCGCGGCCGAGTGCCAGCTCCCGGAGAACCTGCGCGACGTCTCCTTCGGCGACGAGGCCAACGAGCAGGACCAGTTCACCAAGGCGTCGAAGCTCCACCGCGACGCCATGGCCGACGACGTCAACGCGCTCATCGACATGGAGACCATGGCCCAGCGGTCCTTCTTCGCGCTCCAGGTCATGGCCCAGGGCCAGCCCGCGGGCTACGAGGCCATGATGCTCCCGGTCAAGCCCCCGACGCCCCCGGCGACGACGAACAAGCGCGGGAGGTAAAAGAGGTGATTAGAGCGCCCGGGGTTGGCGGCCGCGGGCCTTCGCCGTCTACTCGAGACCGCGCCCACGGCTGCCAGGATCTTTCGTCGCCTGGACTTTCGGGGGCAGCGGAATCACACTGGCACGGTGACGCCGGCGCTCCCCCTAGCCCAATTACCGCATAATGCTGTGCGTCCCGTCGACGCCGTAGTTCGCCCCCGGCGCCGTCAGCGTCCGCGGCGAGACCCCCGCGGGGAAGTTGCGGAAGAGGGGCGGCCGCTGGCCCGTGCCCGGCGGCCGCGCGGTCGCGAGGCGGTCGTGCTCGTCGCGCGTGACCATGTAGCTCGACGCGTTCGACGCCGCTGCGAGGCGGTAGGACGCCGCGGTGTCCAGCCGCGACGACGCCGCGGTGTCCAGCGCGACGACGCCGCGGTGTCCAGCCGCGACGACGCGGCCGTGTCCAAGCGCGACGACGCCGCGGTGTCTAGCCGCGACGCCCCGGTCCCGAGCCGCAGGTGGTCCTCGACGTCGCGGACGTGGCGGTGCGCGGCGTCGCGGCGGTTCAGGCGGTCGCTGTCGGCCTCGTTCAGCCGCGACGCGGCCGTCGACATGCGGCCCGTGCCGTAGTGCAGGCCCTCGCCCGTGCCGCCGATGCCGCCGTGGCGCGGCGCGAGGCCGCCGGCCGCGGTCTTGCGCCGCTCGTCGTCCGCGAAGCGCGCCTTCTTGTACTTTTTTTTGCGCGGCGCGCCGGACGACGCGTTCGTCTTGGGCCGCCGCGGCTGGTTCGTGCTCGGCCGCATGGGCGGCAGGGGCCCGTCGAAGGGGATCACGGGCTCGTGGGGCGGCGCGGGCTTCGCCGGCCCCGGCGCCGTCGGGAGGCGGTGGTCGTCGCCCTTCATGAAGCGGCCCCACTCGTTCACGGGCGCGCCGCGCGACGGCGGCACGGGCACGACGTCGCGCTTCGCGATCTTGAGGTTCGTCGGCACGCCGTGGACGACGGGCGACGGCTCGCGCGACGGGCCGTTGTACTTGCGCCGCGCGGCCTCCTCCGCGGCGTGGGCCGCGGCGGCCTCGGACACGGGTCGCCGTCGCCGCGCCAGCCGTCGACGACGGCGGGCCCCGGCAGGTGCTGGCGCGCGCGCGCCGGCTTGCGCACGAGGCGCTTCGTCGTCCGGCGCCGGAGCTCGGGCTTGGGCTTGGGCAGCGGCGTCGAGTCGTCGCGCGCGAGGTAGGGCGCGATGCTGTCCTTCTGGCCCGCGACCTCGTGCGCCGTCCGGGGGAGCTCCGTCCGCAGGTCCGGCAGCGCGGGCCCCCGCTGCGCGTTGCTCACGTGGTCGTCGTTGTCCCGGGACACCGTCGCCGCGCCGGAGATGTGCTCCTGGGCCTCGAGGTCGTGGCCCCGGCGGCTCTTGTGCCGCGCGTCCATCTTCTTCGACACCCAGTCGCCCGCGACGCCCGGCGGGCGGCTCACCTCGCCCTGCGCGAGCGTCGACTTGCGCATGGTCACGGCGCGCGACTTGGGCCGCACGCGCGTGATGAGGTCCGCGACGCCGTCGCCGAGCCGCCTCGCGTTGGACGACACGACCTCGACCAATTTCCGCGCGGACGCCGTCGGCGCGCGCCAGACCTTGTCGAGCCCCTCCTTCCGCAGCGCCAGGACCGCCGCGTTGTTCGCGTGGATGGCCTTGCCGGCCCGCGTCGCGTCGTGGCTCCGGAGCTCCGCCGCGTTGCGCCGCTCCGCGCGGTCGTCGTCCCCGCCGCCCTGGATGGCCTCGCCGCACTCGGAGACGAACTCGCGGTAGTTGATCTCGCCGTTGCCGTCGGCGTCGAAGCGCCGCGCGAGGTCGTCGAAGCTGTTGTTGTCGAGGCGCAGGTTCATGTTCTTGAGCACGACGCGGAACTCGTCGTAGGAGATGTTGCCGTCGCCGGACCGGTCCGCGAGGCGGAACGCCTGGAGCGTCTTCCGGTGCTTCAGCGCGAGCTTCTCGTGGAGCGCGGCCCGCGCGGCGTCGGCGTCGACGACCGTGGGCAGCTCGACGTTGCGCACCTTGCCGACGCCGCCGTGGGCGTGGAGCTTCCGCGTGCCGAGCTCGCGCGGGTCCTCGGGCGCGCGCGTCGCCTTCTTCCGGTGCGTGAGCTCCCAGACCTCGTCGGCGTCGCCGCCCTTCTGCTTCGTGCCGGCGATGCGCGACGCCGCGACGCGCGCGGCCTTGGCCGCGCGGTCCGCGAGCTCGAGCGCGCGCTCCGCGGCGGCCTCCTTCTCCGTCTGGCCCGCGTGCGCCAGTTCGACGGTCGTGTGCGTCGGGTCCTGATGCTCCCGCCCGGCCTTGCGCAGGTCCGCCCGCCGCTGCTCGAGGCGCTCGAGGCGCTGCCGCGCGTTGCGCCGGAAGGTCTCCTCGACCGACGACGACGGCGCGCCCATGTTGACCTTTTGCACGGAGCTCGGCCGCCGGTGCGGCGACCGCGCGCGCCGTTGCAGGAGCTTCTGCTTCTGCATGCGGTCGAAGATGCCCGCGCCGGCCTCCTTGTGGAGGTCGCCCTCGCGGTTGTGCGCGTAGGCCCGCTTGTGCTGCCGCTCGACGTTGTTGGCCATGCGCACGGCCGACTCCATCTTCGACGTGCCGGCGATCTGCTTGTTGATCTTCGTCTGGCCCACGCCCATGGACGTCTTCGCCCCGAGCATCATCTTCTTGAAGAAGAAGCGGTGCAGCTTCGATGCCGCCGCGGTTTCGTCCGCGCTCATCACCATGGCGGCGACGAGCGCTGCGGAGAGGCGCCGCGGGCTGCTGCCTCGAGCGCGAACGATCGTTTTATGATGGATCGGGGTCGACGATGAAGTTTTTAGCCCTGCTTGCGGGGCACGCGGAGCAGCGCCGCGAAGACGAAGCGGACGGCGTCGAGCGTCGTCGAGGCCGGCTCCAGGAGCAGCGTGCCGCCGCCGTCGCAGGCGAGGCGCAGGGCGCCGCCGACGACGTCCGCGCGCGCGACGCGGCCCGTGGGCGCGGGCGCGTCGGACCCGTCCGCGGGCGCCACGATGACGCCGTCGCGCATGACGGTCACGGCCGCGGGCCGGCGCTCCGCGCCGACGAGGGCCCGCGGCAGGCGGAGCACGGGCCGGCCGGAGCCCGCGAGTTTCGCGACTTTCGCGTAGACCGCCCGTTTCGCGGCCGCGAGCCGCGGGAGCACGTCCGCGGGCAGGCGCGGCGGCGCGGCGCGGCGCGCGTCGGCGAGCAGCGCCTCGAAGACGCGCGCCGCGCAGGCGTCGTGGCAGGGCGCGAAGACGGCGCCCCTCGCGCGCGCGGGCAGCGGCGCGGCCGGCGCGTCGTCGTCCGAGGACGCGTCGCGGGGCTCGAAGGCCGCGAAGCCCAAAGCGAGCGTCGCCGCCCGCGCCGCCGCCTCGCAGCGGGCCGCGCCCGCGCGGAGCGCGTCGCCCGCGTCGCGCTCCGTCCGGCACGCGGCCGCCGCCGCGTAGCGGAGCTGCAGGAGGAAGTGGCGGTCGAGGGACCCGGACGCGCCGCCGTCGTCGCCGTCGGACAGCGACCCGTCCTTGCGCCGCCGCAGCCGCGGCGCGCCGCGCGCCTCGAGGAACGTCGCCCTCCGCAGCGCGTCGCGGACCCGCGTCTCCAGGTGATGCGTCGCCGCGAGCCGCGCGGCGGCCCGCGTGTGCCGGTCCGGCGACGCGCCGCCCGCCGCCGCGCCGTCGAGGAAGCTCACGCAGACCACCGCGCAGCGCCGCGGCGCGCGGCGCCGGCGGCCGCGGAGCCGGCAGCAGAGCTGCAGCTCCGCCCGCGCGTGCGCGCCCTTCACGACGCCGCTCGCGCAGACGTAGCCCGCGCGCCGCGCCTCCACAAATAGGCCCGCGGCCTCGGCGCCGGCGACGAGGGCCGCCGTGATCGCCGTCGCCGACGCGCCGCGCGCGACCTCCGCCGACCGCACGCTGTGGAACGCCGCGGCGTCGTCCGCGAGGCCGCCCTGGGCGCCGGAGAAGCGCGCCGCGGCCCGGCGCGTCGCGGCGCCGGACATGGTGCCGTCGCGCGTCATGCCCGCCGTCGCGTCGTCCTCCGAGTCCACGAGGTCCCAGCGTTTGCCCGGTCCGTCGGAGGCCCAGCCGCTGCCCTCGGCGATCGACGCGGCCTCGTCGTCGCGCTCCTCGAAGGACTGCTTCGACGACGCGTCGTCCTCCTCCTCCGAGTCCGACTGGCTCGTCCAGCGCAGCGTGCGCCGGCCGCCGACGGCGAGGCGCGATTCGAGGCTGGCCATGCTTGTGGGCTGCTTCACCTTTGTGGGCAGCTTTGGCGAGCATGAGGTTTGTTGCCGCTGGATCTGCGCGAAAAAGGCTGGGCTGTGCTTTTGAGAGCTCTCTCTCGTCGTGATGGCGCGTCGCCTCGCCCTCTTCTGCGCGTTCGCGACGCAGATCGCGAGTAGCTTGCGCGCGCCGACGCCGCAGCTGCGCCGCCGCCGCGTCGTCGCCTCGACGCCGGACAGCTCTGTGGACATGCAGGAGCTCATGGCCAAGCAGCACGACGCCAAGCTCGAGGCCGTCGACCGCGCGAAGAAGGAGGTCTACAAAGAATACGAGGAGCGCATCTCGGACCTCGAGGCCAAGGTCGCGGCCGCCGCCGCCGCCGCGACGGCCGCGGCGCCGGGCGCCGCGAACGCCTGGACCGGCGCGCGAGACTACGGCTGGCTCGCGCAGATCCACGACCCGCTCGACGTGCCGAAGGCGCTCTGCGCCGCGGCGCTCCTCGCCGTCATCATGGCGCCGGGGATCTTCGGCACGTACCAAATCGGCCGATGGTTCGCCGTGCAGCGCGGCCTCGTCGGCGACGACGACGAGGACGCCAAGGGCAAGGAGGGGCAGTACGTCCTCGGCGCGAACATCGCCATCGCCGTCGCGGTGAACTCGCAATGCCTCGACCTTGGGTACTAGCTGGGAGTAAGAGGCGTCCTGGGACCTGCAGGTGCGTGTCCCTAACTTCAAGTTACTAGTAGGAGAGGCGAGGAGGAATGGGGCCCTAAAACGGCCGCGCGGGGGGCTCGGAGCGCCCTCGCTACATGATCAGCCCGCGCTGCTTGTCGAGCGCGAGCGAGTCGAGCGCGGCGGCGACGCCGTCCATGCGCTTCGAGAGGGAGCGGCTGCTGCGCGTCCACTCCCAGCGCTGGAGGACGCGGGGCCAGGTCTCGCGCGCGAGCAGGGGCAGCGTCGCGACGCCGTAGTGGCGCCGCTTCACGCGGAGGATCGCGAGCTCGACGAGGCCCGGCGTCCCGCGCGCCCCGCGGCACGTCGCCTCGAGGCGTCCGAGCTCCGCGGCGTTGAGCCGCGAGACGACGTCGACGGCGACCTCGGGCGGGAGGCCGCTCAGCGCGCCGAGGCCCGGCAGCTCCGCGAGCGGCTCCTCCGGCGGCGGCGGCGCCGCGGCCGCCGCGGCCGGCGGCGGCGGCGGCGGCGCCTCGGCCTCGACGGCCTCCGCCGGCGCGTCGTCCGCCGGCGCCGGCGCCGGCGCCGAGAAGTCGGGCGCGGGCGCGGGCGCGGCGAACTCGGACGTGGCGAAGTCGGGCGCGGGCGCGGGCGCGGCGAACTCGGCCCCGGCGAAGTCGGGCGCGGCGGCGGGCGGCCGCGAGTCGCCGTCGCGGCAGGGCGACCCGAGGCGCTCGCGGCGGCGCTTCGCCTCGCGGCCGACGACGGCCTCCTCCGTGTCCGCGTCGGCGTCGGACTCGGACTCGAGCGCGCCCGAGCCGCAGATGCGCTTCGCGCCGCGCGGGGGCGCCGCGCCCGTGTCCATCGCCGCCGCGACCTCGCGCCGCGCGGTCGCGAGGCTCAGCCCCTCCAGGCCCAGGGCGTCCTCGCGCGGCGCCGCGCTGCCCGGGTGGAAGCGGATGGGCGTCACCGTGCCCCCGAGGAGCTCCCGGTCCCGGAAGACGGGGCTCTCGGACCGCGGCGCGGACGCGGACCGCGCGCGGCGCCGCGCGCGGCGGCCGCCCCGGCCCCCGGCGGGCGGCTCGTCGTCCTCGGCGTCGACGAGGGCCACGTCGTCGTCCTCCTCCTCGCCCTCGCTCACCGACGACGACCCGCCGTCGGCAACGAATTCTAATCTGCGCTGCAGGCTCCCGCAGGCCGCCGCGAGGCGCCGCAGCGGGAGCCGGGACCGGGACAGGTCCAGGTCCGTCTCCAGCAGGGCGAGGACGTCGAGGATGCCCCGCTCCGCGTGGGAGAGCACGAGGGACTCCGCGTTGGGGGCGCGGGCGCCGCGAAGAGCCGCAACCATTTTGCCCGAGTTTTTTTAGCCGGACGATGTTGCTCTGCATCGTCGCGTGTTGCACTCGCGCGAGGCGCATTCGAAGGCCTATTCGAGGCGCCAACAGCGGAGCTCACCACCTTACTCCTCGTCGTCGTCGTCATCGTCGTCGTCGTCCGCCTCGACGAGCTTGCGCTTCTTGATGGCGTCGAGGCCGCGCGCCGCGAGGTCGAGGCTCACGTCCGCGTCCTGGATGGCGACGGCCTCGCACTTCTCCGGGTTGTACTCGTCGACCTTGAGGCCGTCCTTGCCCACGGTCGCCGTGACGTCGAAGTCGTACTGCGTGCCGTCGTGGAGGAGGGAGATCGTCGAGAGCCGCGTCGCCGACGAGTAGTACTTGAGCTCGGCCTCGAGCACGGCGCGCGGGTTCGCGAGCTTGAGGAACGCGTCCTGGTGCGGCTGGAGCTCGATGGTCACGCCGTCGTTGAGCTTGACCCAGGTGACGAGGAGCACGTCGTAGGGCAGCACGCGCAGCTCCCGGAGCATCCACAGCGGGCAGAACACAAAGTTCTCCGGCGCGCGGAAGTCGAGCGGCGAGCAGTAGACCTTGTCGAGGCGCGGCAGCATGCCGATGCCCGGGCCCTGGGCGTCGCCGGGCCGCGAGCGCGCGGGCGGCGCGTTCGCGAGGGCGCGGCCGCTCAGGAGCTCGCGGCCGCGGACGGACTCGCCCGCGTGGCCGAGCGCTCGCACGAGGTCCGCGTCCTCCCGGGGCTCCAGCGCCTCGAGCTCGAAGTGCCAGGGCACCTCGTAGGCGCGCTTCGTGAGCTCGGCGCCCACAGACCGCGCCATGGACACGCGGTCGCTGAACTGGACCTTGCCGTGGCCGGGCTGGCCCGGCGGCGGGTCGAAGTCGCTCGTGAGCGGCAGCACGAGCACGGCGCGGTGGAAGGACCCGGACGCCTTCTGGAGCGCGTTGTAGTCCTCGACGCGCTGCTCGAGCTCCGCGCGCTTGTTCGCTTCCCGGAAGCCTGCGCCGGAGCCGAAGATCTTCGCCACCGCTTCGAGCTTCCGGCTCACGAACGCGACGCCCGCGCCCGACAGGCCGCCGCTCAGCACCTCCTCGTCCTCGAACTCGTCCTCCTCGAGGTCGTCGTCGTAGTCCTCGTCGTCGTCCTCGTCGTCCGCGTCGTCGTCGTAGGCCTCGTCGTCGTCGTCGTCGTCGTCGTCGAAGCCGCCGCGGCGCACGGCCTCGACGGCGCGGCGCGGCGCCGGGCTCGATCGCCGCAGCGCCGACGACGGCCGCCGGAGCGCCGAAGAGAAGTGGGTCGCGGCGATCGCCGCGATGATTGCAGACAATTTTGCGGCGACCATCGACAAGGCACTCTAGCGCTGTTGAAGCCGGCCTTTACACAAATCAATCGCTTGCTCGCGAATCTAATGATTTCCCAGACTGAAATGGCTGCCCCGCCGCTTCGCGCCGTCACCCTCGCGGACATCGAGGTCGACGGCGGCATGGTCGGCAAGGGCCGCGAGGTCCTGGAGACGTACGGCTGCGTCGTGCTGAAGAACGTGCTCGACCCGGCGACGGCGCTCGACCCGATCCTCGCCGAATACGACCGGCGCCTCGACGACGTGCTGGCGAGCATGGGCGCGCCCACGGCGGGGACCTTCGCCGAGCGGCTCGCGGCGCTCTACAACTCGGGCACGGGCGTGCACCACCAGGCCTTCAACATCTCGCTGCCCGCGGCCGCGGGGATCCCCGCGTCGACGCCCGTGCACACGGGCGCGGCCATCTTCGCGCTCCTCCGCAGCCCGGCGATCCTGGACGCCGTGGAGGACGTGCTGGGCGGGGAGATCCTGTCGAACCCGATCCAGCACGCGCGGCTCAAGCCGCCGGAGCGCATGGTCGTCGGCGGCGCCGGCCAGGGCCTCGTGCGCGCGATCGACTGGCACCAGGACGCGGCGGCCATGTCCGCCGACGCCGACGCCGCGGACTTCCTGACGGTCTGGGTGCCCGTGACGGACGCGACGGAGGCCATGGGCTGCATGGTCGTCCAGCCGGGCAGCCACCGGGAGCGGAGCCAGCTCCAGCGGCACTGCCCGGGCATGCGCCTTCCGGGCCGCGACGCGGCGCCGTCGCTCGTCGTGCCCATGGAGCGCGGCTCCATCCTCGTCTTCCACAAGCTCCTCGTCCACAAGAGCCTGCCGAACGTCTCCGACGCCGCGCGCGTGTCGCTGGACCTGCGCTACTCGGTCGCGGGGCAGAAGACGGGCCGGGACGTCTTCCCGGAGTTCCTCGCGCGCAGCGCCGCGGACCCGGCCGCCGTCCTCGACGACCCGGCGGAGTACGCTCGGGCCTGGTGGCGCGCGCGCGACGCGCTCGCCGCGACCGACGCGAAAGTCTACCTCGGCGTCCGCTGGAACGAGCCGGGCGTCGAGGTCGCCGCGTCCTGCTAGGGAGCTCGCGAAAGCCACCCGAAAGCCGACGCCGCGCGAAAGCGCGCGACGCCATCCGAAGAAGCCGACGCCGCGCGAAAGCGCGGAACGTGGAGCACTCGCCTCTAAGCCGCGCCCGCGCATAGCGCCTCGGCGTCGTCGTGTTAACACATGTGGTCGCGGACGAGGGGCCGGGGCCTCTTGGCGACGTCGTGGCGCGACGCCGTCGGCTGCTGGTTCATGGCGACGTCGAAGACGTCGTGGTCCGCGCGGAGCGCGACGGACGCCCAGCGGAGCGCGGTGACGTCGCTGCGGACGGCGGCGAGGACGACGTCCTTGTCGTCGCGGAGGTCGTGGGACGCGTGCTCGAGCGCGCGGCCGCAGGTGGCGACGGCGGCGAGGACGACGTCCTTGTCCGCGCGCATGACCGAGGACGCGAAGCGGAGCTGGTCGCCGCGGCGCCGCACGGTCGTGAGCACCTTGTGCTTGTCCGCCTTGATCTCGCGCTCGGCGGACTTGTCGCGGACGAGGTCGTCGAAGAGGGGCCGCACGGCGCGCCGCGCCTTCTTCAGCGCCATGCTCTGCGTCTGCACGGACTGGCGGTCGATGCCCGCGAGCTCGTAGAAGGTGAGGAGCTCCGGGTGCGTCGCCGGCGAGCCCCGCCGGTGCGCGTGGAGGTCCACGTCCAGGAGCTCGCGCTCGTGGGGCGCGAGCTCCGTGAGCTTCGCGGCGCTCCTCGCCCGCCGCGGCCGGCCGAACGTGTGGCGGAAGACGCGCGACGCCGACGACCGGTCGTCGATGTCGTCCTCGACGATCTTCGGCGGCGCCTTGACGGGGCTCAGGTGCACGAAGCGCTCGCTCGACGTCCGCTGGAGCCGCCGCGCCGCCTGGCCCGTGCGCAGCGGGTTGAGCTGCCCCGGCTGGAAGACGCTGCCCTTCGGGGCGACCTTGATGACCACGGTCAGGCCCTGGACGCAGGACGTCGTCGTCTTCCCCGGGGACCCGGCGGCCGGCGGCGCCATGCGTTACACCCTAAATTGGTAGGGAGAGCGTCGCATCGGCGGCGCTGGGGAGGACTGCAACTTGCAGGATCTTACCTATGCTTGTTGAAAGTCTTGTTGAAGCCCGCCGCGCGCGTCCCCCCCGAGCAGTTCAGTGTCGCCTCTCGTCAGATGCTTGCACCGAGCTGCAAGAGCGCCGCCGCCATGAGCCACCGGTGCCGCCGCCGCGACGCCGCCGCGCCGCGCGGCACGACGGCAAACATGCGTTCGCTCATCTTCGCGCTGAGCGTCGCGGCGACGACGGCCGAGCTCGTCCCGAAGGCGTCGGCGCTCGCCCTGCCCAATCCCCTGCGCCGCTTCGGCGGCGGCCTGGGCAAGCGCGGCGGCGAGAAGCAGCAGCCGGCGAGCGAGCTGCTGACGCCCGGCGAGACGCTCGTCGCCGGCGCCGCGGCGCGCATGGTGGCGCAGACCATCCTGCACCCGCTCGACGTCGTGCGGACCCGCACGCAAGCCGTGTCGATGGGCACCTCCAGCCTCGCGGAGTCGCTCTCCTTCGGCCTCATCCCGCAGGTGGGCCTCAGCGCGCCCGCGGGCGCCATCCAGTTCACGGCCGTGCGCAAGGCCCGGAAAGCTCTCGAAAACGCGCTGCCGGACGACTTCGTAAAAAGCTCGCAGGGCCGCTTCGCGACGCAGCTCGTCGCGGCCGCGTGCGGCGCGGCGTGCGCGGGCGCGATCCGCATCCCCCAGGAGGTCATGAAGCAGGGCTGCATGGTCGAGCTCTACCCCAACGCGCTCGTCGCGTTCTCGACGATCCTCGCCGAGAAAGGGCTCGCGGGCTTCTACAAGGGCGCCGTCGCGACGATCACGCGCGACGTCATGTGGAACTCGCTGTCCTTCTCCATCTTCCGGCTCCTGCTGGACTACGCGAACACGTCGAACCCCAAGGCCCAGTACTCGCTGGGCATCGCCGCGGGCTGGCTCGCGGCGCTCGCGACGCACCCGTTCGACGTCGCGAAGACGCGCGTGATGACGTCGTCGGGCGACCTGACGGTGGGCCTCTTCGCCCAGCTCGCGGGCCTCGTCGAGGCCGAGGGCTGGCAGGTGCTCCTCTCGGGCCTCGTGCCGCGCCTCCTCTACCTCGGCCCCCTCGCGTCCCTCGTCCTCGCGACGAACGAGGTCATCGCCGGCGCGCTCGTCAAGGCCCGCGGAAAGGCGGCGCGCGCGGGCGGCGCCTAGTCGTCGGCGGCGCGCGCCCCGCCGCCTAAGCTCGAAGCAAGATTAGAACGGCATCGACCGGAGCGAGCCGACCGTGGCGAGGGACGCGTCGTCGTCGAACGCGCCGGGCACGGACGCGGACTCCGCGAGGCCCCCGCGGGGCCGCCGGGTTCGGGGCCCCGCCTCGTCGTCGAAGAGCGCCGCGAGGCTCCGGTTTCCCCGGGGCTTGGCGCCGTCGGAGAGCGCCTTGCGCTTGTCGAGGATGGGCTTGAGCTTCTTGGGCGTCGCGGAGAGGAAGAGGTGGTGCGCGTTCTGCTGGGACCGCTGCCAGCCGCTCCGCTTCCAGGCCATCTCGCCGATGGTGTCGCCGATCCGGTACTCGGCGGGCAGGGGCGGCGCCGCGAGGGCGGGCTCGAAGGCGTGGCCGAGGTGCGCCGCGGGCGCGTCGGGCGTCAGCGGCGGCGAGAGGCCGTCCAACCCCAACCCCGGCGCCGACGGCGGCGTGTGGCCCATGTTCCGGAGCACGGCCGTGAAGCGCCGCGTCGCCATGACGCCCCGCGACACGACGCGGAACCGGCTCGTGTTGAGCCACGTCACGAAGTCGTGGATCTGCGCGCGCTTGTCGCGGTTCCCGTGCGCCTCGCAGAGGTACTTGAAGACGACGCCGACGTCGTGGTCGTTGACCTGCGACGGCCGCGCCCTGAGGTACCTGCGCAGCGCGCCGTGGAACTCCAGGAGCCCGAGGCCCTTCCCCGCGCCCGTGCCGTCCATCGTCTTCAAATCCTCCGGCAACCTCGCGCACGCGTCCTCGTCGAGCGCGAGGTACGCCGTACGTAACCGCGCGTGGAGCGTCACGAGCGACTTCTCCTGCTCGCTCTCGGAGATGGGCAGAGCCGGCAGGGACCGCGCCTTGGCCAGCAGCTTGCCGTGCCGCTGCGCGACGGGCGCGCCGCCCTCGACGAGCGCGATCGCGCAGGCCGGCCGAAAGGGCGCGGGCCCCTCGCCCGGCGGCGCGTCCTCCTGGAGCGTGCACCAGTCCAGCGGCGTGCGCCGGTAGGTCCGGTCCTCGATGGACGGGTCGACCTTCGGGCCGTACGTGCCGTCGAAGTCGCGGAGAAGCTTCCGGACCATGAAGGGGCAGTCGTTCCGCGCGCACCAGCCCAGGAGCGTCTCGCCCTCGTTGTCGACCACGTTCGGGTCCGCGCCGCGCCGCAGGAGCTGGTCCATGGTCGCGCACATGATCTCCCGCGGCGGGCCCGTGACCTCGCACGCGCGCGCGGCCGCGAGCCGCAGCGCGGTGTTCCCCTCCGAGTCCGGCGCGTCGAGGAGCCCGCTCGACCGCTTCGCCGCGTTCGACCTCTGCTCGCCCGCGGCGTCCAGGAGTAGAGCGAGCTCCGCGCGGTCGCCGTGGCGCGCGGCCAAATGGTGCGCGGACCGGCCGAGGCGGTCGCGCGCGCACAGGATGCGCTCGAGCACCTCCGGCTCGCGGCCCGCGGCCTTGAGCAAGGCCCGGAGGATGGCGTGGCGCCGCAGGCCCACGCACATGTGGAGCGCCGTCTGGCCGCTCAGGTCCGCGGCCGTGAGGTCCGCGCCGAGCTCGAGCAAAAGCTCGACCGTGGACAGCCGGTCGTTGAGGATCGCGTAGTGGAGCGCCGTCTTCAGGCTCGACTGCTCGCGCGAGTTGACGCCGATGCCGTCCGTGCGCAGCGGCCGCTCCCGCGGCGGCACGAGGATCGCGTGGACGACGGCGTCGTTGCCCGCGGCGGCGGCGCCCGTGAGCGCCGCGACGCGCGACGGGATCATCCTTCGACGTTTGCCGCCGGCGACGCTCCGGCGCTGCGCAAAACCGCGGCGCGCCTCGTCGCCGTCGCGTGCACGGCGCCGCGGCGCGCGCCGTCGACGACGCCGCGGCTCGGAGAAGCAACGCGCTAGTATGGGCAGTTTCGAAAAGTTGGTAATTACTTCAGCATCGGCTGGATTTGACATGCGCGGCTTGGTCCATCTTCTCGGTCCACGGACGCGCATGTACCCTTACCGCGCGCGGGTCCTCCTAGAGCTTGCCCTGGCGGCCGTAGACCTGGGCCTTCATGACGAAGTCCTGGAGCGGCACGGGCAGCAGCCCCGCGACGGGCGTCGCGCGCGAGTCCGGCCCGACCTTGTAGCCGTGGAGCGGCCGGCCCGCCTGGAGCGCGAGGCGGATGCGCTTCGCGACCTCGGACACGTGGGTGCCCTTCTCCGCGAGGGAGTACTTGATGAACGTGTCGAGCAGCGGCCCGTACTCGTCCTTCGCCTGGTCCGTGCCGAGGCGGGCCTTGCACGCGGCCCACATCTGGTCGTTCAATTTGAGCCCGTTCTCCACGAGCATGGTCGGCTTCACGAAGCCCGGCGAGATGATGCAGGCGTCGATGGGCTTCTCCGTGAGCTGCATCTCCACGCGGAACGACCGGACGAACGCCTCGACGGCGAATTTCGACGACATGTACGCCGTGAGCAGCGGCGGCACGGGCGTCAACACCCCGCCGCCGGTCCCCGTGAAGACCATGCGTCCGCGCCGCCCCACGGCCTTGACGCCCGCGCGCACGTGGGGCATCATGGCCTGGACGACGCGCACGTAGCCGAAGAAGTTGACGTCCATCTGCTTCTTGTAGATGTCCATCGGAATGAACTCGCCGGGCCCGTTGTAGCCCATGCCCGCGCACTGGACGACGGCCACCAAGCCCTTGGCGCCGTTGGCGCCGCTCGCGAGGTCCGCCTCGACGCGCTTCGCGGCCAGCGCCACGGACTCGTCCGAGCAGACGTCCAACGCCACGGGCACGCACCGCTTCGCCGCCTCCGGCGAGTGCGCCTTCAGCGCCGCCGCGAGCTTCGACGCCGACCTGTCGTCGTAGATGCCCGCGTAGACCTACCAAGTGCGACGGGGTCGGATTTCTTCACATCTTCAGGCGAAATTCACGCGAAAGAACACTCCTGTCGCTCGACGCTGGCGTAGACGCGCTCGTAGGACGCCTCCTTGCAGAGGTGGAGCACCGTCGCCTCGCCCATGCCCGAGTCCGCGCCCGTGACGAAGATCGCGCCCGTCTCGGGCTGCTTTTTGTGCGCGGGCGACAGCCACGCGGGCTGCGCGTGGGCGACGACGGCCAGCGCGAGCCAGAGCCAGGTCGGCGCGCCGGCGCCCGTGACGAGCGTCAGCGCGTAGCAGCCCGCGCCGATGGTGAAGAAGCGGTGCACGTAGTTGCGGTGCAACGCGGCGACGACGACGGTGACGACGCACACGTCGACCGCGAGGTGGTGCTGCTGGAGGAAGGGGTAGAGGACGTCCATCGTGCCTACGGTGGTGCGCGTGGCGGCGCGCGGGTGCGTTTGTGCGGGGCGGCGACGCGAAAGGCGTGTGTCTCAAGGGTAAAAAGCTGTCGTCATGAGACCGCGAGGGTCTCGATGCGGATTTTCAGTATGAATAATGAATCATCGACGGCATGTGCGCGCGTGTGCGGGGACGCCGCGGCGCGCGTGTAGTGCTTGCCGCTCGCGATCCAGCTCGGCAAGAGTGGTCGGGAGAGGACGGCACCTTCTACCGCTTTCCCTTCAAGTTACAGCTCACATTACGTCGTCCTTCCCGACGCGCTCGTTGAGCGCCCGGGCGAACTTGACCATGACGGTCGAGATGGCGGCGTCGATGAGGGCCCGCGAGAGCCAGCCGCGCAGGTCCGAGCCGATGATCCAGGTCACGTCCGCGCCGCCGGCGCCGGGCTCGACGACCCAGCCCGAGGGCCCGTTGAAGCCGCGGACCGCGCCAGCCACGGGCGGATAGGCGTCGTCGACGAGCCCCGTGCCGCCGACGAGGAAGCGGTCGCCGCGCCGCTCCGTGCGCAGCAGGTTCGTGAAGTCCCGCGAAGAAACCAAGCCGCCGCACTCCGCCGCGGCCGTCGTCTTCGTCACGCGCGTCGGCCGCCCGAACGCGTCGGGGAACCCGGCCTCCTCGGCGAGGACGTCGTAGCCCACGAGCGTCGGGTTCCAGGTCGTCTGGCGCGCCTCGTCCTGGAGCAGCCGCGCGACGGCCTCGGGCGTCGCGCGGACGCCGCGCATGCGCAGCCGCCACGCGGTCGGCCCGCCCGCGTAGTCGCTGCGCCGCTGGCTCACGACGAGGCTCGGCTGCGTGAGCACGGCGCGCCAGCCCTTGGCGTCGTCGCGCGCGAGGGCGTCGAGGACGCCCACGGCCCAGAGCGCGCGCTCGGTGCGGTCGTCGCCGGCGCGGCAGAGCGCGTCCAGGAACCGCGTCGGCGGGCTCGCGTCCCAGGTCCGCTTCGCCGATATTTTGCGCGCTGGCAGGGGCGATACTTTCGCATCGACGGGCAGCGGCGGCGCGGCGACGACCACCAGCTCCTCGTCGTCGGATGCGGCGTGGTCCAAGGACGCGAGGGCCAGGCTCGCGAGGCCGCCGGCGCAAAAGGCCAGCACCGTCGGCAGCCAGCGGAGCTCCGGCGGCAGCAGGTCCGGCAGCGCGGCGCTCGCGCCAACGAGGATCGACGAGGCAATTGCGGGGAATGCCATCGCCACCATGGCCGTATTCTCAACGCTGCCCCAATTAGAAGCGACATCAAGCAGCAGTTGTTGAATCATTTGAAATCGGGGCAGCCATGGACCGCCGTTGGCGCAGAAGCATGCTCCTCGTGCTCTGTCTCGCGACGGCCGCGGGCCTCGAGGCGTCGTGCGCCAACGGGTCCTGCCGGACGAAGCGCCTGCAGCGCAGCGTGAGCGTGGACCAGATCAAGGGCGGCAAGCCGCCCGCGCCGCGGCCCGCGCCGCCGGCGCCGGCGCCCCTCGCGGAGCCCACGGAGCGGAGCGACTCGCGGTCCAAGGCCGCGGAGCTGCGGCGGCGCGCCGCGGAGCAGCGCGCGGACCGGCGCGCGCCCGCGGCGGCGCGCGCGGGCGACTCGCGCGACTCGCTGCTCAAGGCGGCGCTCACGTCGCGCGACGCGAAGCCCGCGGGCGAC